TTTTTGCATGAATTAACTGCATCACCCAAAATTTATTGACTTTGTAATTTCAAAATGGATGACACAAGTAGTGCGATGTTGAATATGGATGAGAAGCAATGAGGTTCGCATGTTAATCTACACATATTTTGTTTTGTACATCATAAAACATCTTGTCTTACTCTGGTGAATAAGACAAACTTGCCATCAAATTAAAATAAAGTAAATGCTTGCTTTAGCCCCGCTCCCACCTAAGTCTCGCCTTCTGTTTAGCGCCGCACTCAGAATCCAAAAGTTTTTAGCGTCTCTCCCGTCAAGCGCCGCATCTGAGTAACCTAATTAGCGCAGCGCTTGAAATAATGTAGAGTTATTAAACTCTAAGGCTTACGACAACCTTTGTTTGCATCTATTTGACATTATTTTCATTTAGTTGTATAATATGATATAACGAAAATAGATTTTGTTATTTTCGTTTTTTTCTTTGGGGCAATAAAAATTTAATAATATTTAATCGGCGCAACCAGAGGCGTAACTAGGACGTTAATTGGTGGTGAGTATTCATATATTCAGTTGTGCTCTACTGATTTCATATGAAATTCAATTCACTTCCAAAAAAATCTGTAGGGCACAACAAAATATATGAATATGCACCACCCCACCCCACCCCCAATTGACGTTCTATTTACGACTCTGGGCGCAACTCTGATTTAAGCACCAGTCGTGGCCCCTTTGCCTTTTAATTGCCCCTACCTGATAGAAAATCCTGGCTACGCCACTGGTACCAAGTTAGATGTGGCAAGTAAGGTCACTAAGATGACTATATCAAATGATATTGTTTTTACGAAAATAAAGCTTTGAAATTTTAGAACTGACATAGACTCTTCCCATTTAAAAGATTTCTCAAACCTTAGCTATCCAATGGAAAGCAATATCCATGAACAGGCTTTGTGATGTCTCCTCCCTGATGTAAGAAAAATTTATTTATGTAATACTCAATAAAATGAGCCTGCAGATGTTGGCCAAACAAATTTTGTTGGCCTCTTTAATATTAGAACCAGTAGCGTATCTAAAGGTTACACTGTTCTCAGCCATACCAAAAAATTCTTCCAAAACAAGGAATTTGTTCGATTAAAAATTCAATATAATTTAATTTGAATTTCAAAACAGTTTTAATCTATTTATTGCGTATTTTGAGCGGATGATCCAAATCTTTCAATAACGATTTTAGTTTAACTCGCGATTAAAGAATGTGTGTCAACCACGATGCATTGCGCGCTTTTGTTTATGTTTACACAGTGAACTATAATAACAACTGGAACGATAACTCCTATAGTTTTTCTCATGATTGTTTGAATCCAAACTCCCCCCTCATATAATGCGTGTTTTCTTGGCGACCGACGTTAGTTTTGGCTTGTTGGCAGTTGAAAACAGTAAAAAATTATTTGTTTTCGTTTTTGACACATTGTGTGCTTTAAAATTGTATCTACCAGAATTAGCGTATACCTCAGCAAGATATTTGGAGGAGAAGCATAATCGGCAAGAATCGTGGACGATTGTTTTCAACAATTCGTTACACCAAGTTTATCGGCCCGTTATATGCAATGTGTTCATTTCCTTTTCTCTCTTTGTATGCTTTACACGGACAACACAAGAATAGGGTGTTATGTATTTGAAAAAGACACTTGATTTTTACATATTTAAATCGATAAATAAGTTTTTCAAGAATCCTTTAGGGAGGATCTTGCATACTTTGTGACATTGAGCTGTATATATATTTGCAGGTGTATATATTTTCATGGTATTAGAAATGCTCTTAAGAACACATTTTTCTACTTTGCAAATTGCTCAATTTTTACGAAACTTGGTAAGATCGTGTATTTAACATGAAGCTATAATATTTTGGTGGATTGAACGTTTAGGTATGCCTGAAACGTTCAATAACGCAGAAAAAGCAGCAAATAATCGCGACTTTGGTAATTTTGTCTTTGCTTTAACATTTTGCTTTTAACAAGTTTTGGGCTAATTTTTTGAAATTCAGCCAGTTTCACTAATATTGTTAAATATAATATTTTTGAAAAGGAAACGCAAGATATACTTTTGAAATTTTATAAATATAAAAATACCATATTTTTACGAAAGGGACTGGAGCTACGTAAGCTGGCATCATGCTGGTCAAAGATGGCGCGAAGTTATCATTCCAGTTGTTATTATAGTTCACTGTGTTTACATCGTTAACTTTTGAGCCATGGGTAATTGAACTTTAGTCTGTCAACAATCATCTAATTTAGCTGAAAAATTCAGCAAAAACATTATTTTAAAATTTTGATGTAATTACGAGTGCTAGTTGGTACAAATTTCTTGTCTTATCTACATCAACAAAACCGTGTTGAACTCTTTTCTTCTTCTGTCAGCATGAGCCATATATTATTTAGCAAAGTTTCTCAACTCAAAAGTACAATAGAACTTTATTTTTCCAACTTCACTCGCGAAGCAAACTGCTCTTAGCACATTAAGCCCAGGCTCTTTGGCTGTGATAATTTGTAGCAAGATTTCATCAATCATTGCATTCATCATACACATTTTATCTCTCGTTCATCTTGACTGAGCTAAACAAAACAAAATACTTTGCTAACCGTCTTAGCAAATTTCGAAACCGTTTCGTTTGTATTTTATGATTACCTCTCTTCTTTCCCGCACAAAGAAGCAACATTCCGGATTGTAAATTAAAACAAATTGTTTTCGAGAACATCGCGTTAAGGCTTAAGTCTCGGCAATGATCGCCGCATTCGCAAGTCGCCACTTTACTTAACATACGTTCAGATTACAAAATCTCCGTTTCTTTGTCGTATTTCTTATTATTTTAGGCATTTAGCAAAGGAAAGGTCCTTTTGCTCAGAACTTGTCGTTTGAATGGTTTAAAACCATGCAATGACGCAATAAATTGAGTAAAACTCGGTCGATATAATAAAAATAAATTGCATTACTGCACTACTCTTCACTCCCCATAATGGCGGACAGTTAAATTTTGTGACGTAGTGGTGACGTAGGTGCAAACACTCTACAGGAGTTATCATTTCAGATGTGTTTTAGTACAATGGTTCGTCGAAATTTGATGCCAGTAGTTCCCAGTCCCTCCACGCATTCTAAACATACAGCCAATAGGCAGAATCGAATTGATAACTTTACAAACTACGAAGCTCCAAAAACAAAACACAAATTCTTTTTGCCTCAATTTTGCAAACAAATCTTTCAATAAATGAGACTTAACATCAATTAGACACAACTTTTTGACATTTACATTTTTGTAAAGAAAACAAATTATGAAAACATAAAACAAGTTATTTGTTTTGTTTGTCTGTAAATGTGCCAAACTAAAGTGTTTGTTCCAGTAGAAACTATTATCTGCAAGATACCTGCAAACTTCATAACAAAAGAAAGCATATAAAATTTAAAGCCCCGTTCACACGGGGAAATTGACAAATGATATGTGACAAATAAATTTTGTCCGTGTGAATGAACAATTTGTTACAAATTTTTTATGACAAATGAATTTGTTCAAAAGCTGGGTTGTTAGCTTTTTTTTGTCGTATAAAATTTGTCAATAATCAAATTTGTCCGTCTGGACGACCATCACATCAAATGTGTCAAATTTTATCAAACAACATGGCGACGACGCAAGGAGCGAGGACAACGAAACATGTGATTTCTTGGACTGACAGCAGTATTTCTTTACTCGATGCCCTTAAGACAAGAGAGAGTTTGTGGAACTCTAAGCTGACATCGTACCGAGATAGAAATATAAAGAAGAGAGAATATCAAGAAATAGTTACCATTTTAAGCGCCGAAATTCCCGAAATGAATTTATCAGCTGTAAAAGGTAACAGTATTCAAAATGTAATTGTTTAAATTTGTGTTACACTTTGATAGCTCTTAAACATTTTCTTTTAATTTTTGAAACGATGCACAGTGCCCTTCAGTAATTGGGTTGATGAATATTGTCTGGTCACTATCAGGAATTTCTCAATTAGTATCAATATTCAGCAGGAAACAGAAACTGCTGCAAGTTGTCTGTAATATTGTTGTGAAGTATTTATTTTTGCTACAGCTAAGATTCAAGGACTTCGAACGACCTTTCGTGAAGAAATAAGAAAAATTAAAAAAAGTGAGCATACTGGTTGTGGATCAGCTGAAATATATGTCCCAAAATGGAAGTTTTCAATGAATGCTTCTTTCTTGAAGATGTTGTTGCATTAAATAGACCAACATGCAGTAACATTGAAGATGAAATAGACATTTCCAATACAGGTGGCAATGAGCATGAAATTTGGGGAATGGATGGAAATTTGAAACTGGCAGCACATGCAGTGATACATCATTTGGTATGCATCCAAAAAAAAGAAAAAGAAGCTCAGAAGAAAATGAATGGATGAAGACTGCAGAAAGTGCACTTACCAAGTTGTCCCAAGATAATGACGATCAACAGGATGAATGGGATGTGTTTGGGGTGGATGTTGCATTCCTTAGAGCCATCAACAGCCCAGAGTGGCAAAGACGAGCTAAGTTTGCTGTGCAGTCTGCCATTTTCCAAGCTGCAGAAAAAGCTCGATGCACAGTTTCTAACTCTACACTACGTACAGATAGTACCATCCCAGTTATTGATTCATTTTTTAAAAATTTTAACAACTGAATATTTTCATTTTTAGAATTGATTTTTGAATACACTGCCTCTTACTTAATTAATTAAGAATGTTGATATTACAGTTTTTTAAGTGATGTACTTTTCTTCTAACAATTAATCTCTTCTATAGTGATTGTTTAGTTTCTAGGCTGTTGTTTTTTATTTTGTAATATGTGAAGAAACACTAACCATACATTTTTCATCCATGATCCATCAGCAAAATGATTTTTGAATTAAAAATTCCAAAATAAAAATTTTCTTGATTATATGATCACAAACGTGCGTGTTTATGGGTTCTAAAAAACTGAATTTAATTAAATGTAAATAGCTAGCTTTAACATAATCATTCAGTCATCTTCCATTGAAATGGAACAGCACCTTCTTCAAAAAAGTAATCTTTCATGTCATCACGAACAGCTCTAGCTTGCAATGTAGAAGACCGTTCACTTGGATGACTGCATAAATCAGTGATTGTGCATGTATTGTCAACTTCCTTTCTCCATGCACCATGCATTACAATACAATTTTCATCTTCATCATCCAAATATCCAGCAGGAGCATAATTTGTATCATTTCTTGATATAAGGTAATTATGAAGGGCTAGGCATGCACGAACCACTTCTATAACGTTTTCAACATTTAATTGCAATGTCTTTAAAAGAACTCTAAACCTGGCACAGAGAATACCAAAAGCATTCTCGAAAATTCGCCTAGCCCTCGATAAACGATAATTAAACACCTTTTCATCCCCCATTGCCGACCTATGAGGATAAGGTTTCATTAAATTAACATTTAATGCAAAAGCCTCGTCACCTAAAAGAAAATATGGGACATTGTTGGGTCTTTTCCCAATTTCGAGGGCATTGGAAAAACATTGCTTTGCATATACATTCAAGGAAACCATGTTTAAAGATTCCACCATCTGACATACTTCCTGGTGCACCAAGGTCAAATGATACAAACCTTGCCTTTGCATCAGCAATAGCAAGCAAAACAATACTTGAGTACTTCTTGTAATTAAAATATTCTGAACCCGTATTGGGTGGTGCTTTTATATTAATGTGCTTTCCATCTATGGCACCAACTGCATGAGGAAACTGCCACAAATCCGAAAATTTTTCTGCTAATTGTTTCCACTGTGCATGCGTTGTAGGGGGCTGTAAGAAGTCTTTTTTCAAAACATTATAGATTACTTTGCACACAATTGGAACAAATGTTGATATTGTAGAAGTTGACATTCTGAATGAGTAAGAAAGATCTTTATATGATGCTCCAGTTGCAAGAAATCGCAGAGTTACACATAGCTTCTCAAATGGTGAAATAGCATCCCTCATGTTGGTATTCTTTTTCAAAAGAAAAACATTGACCTGATCATACAATTCATCAAACAATGTCGGTTCCATTCTAAAGAAATACACAAATGATAAAATAAAATGGTGTCTACGGTATTAAATAAAAACAAAGTGTGCTCACCTTAAAAAGTTTCCAAAACTTGCGATATCTGTGCGTCTTAACTCTGGAATCAAATTGAATGCAATACCTTGTGATTCTCTTCGTTCTGTGTGGCCCATGGTCGCACCCACCATCTACGTTTTCGCATTTTTTACCTTTACGTATTATCTTCATTAAAATAAAACAGCCAAACTAATACATAAACGTTTATTTTTCTTTAAAGTCTTGTAACGAGTCATCTTGCGATTGTCAAAGTTGATATTTGTAGGACGTAATATCTCGATAAGATAAAGTAACGACGTATTTTCCTTTTCTGCTAACCAAATGTATCGAAGGCAATCTAGTGACAGTGCTATGTAACCAAAAATTTGATAGCCGTTCACATGAACTTATGCATTTGTCATATATCATTTGTCAAAGAAAATTTTCCCGTGTGAACGGGGCTTAAAGAAAGATCAGTTTTGTAAGTATATTTTTACCCAAAACAATTATTATCAGTGCGCTTTCGTGGACCGTGCAAATTTACAGAAAAATACAATTTTTAGTACAAACTTAAAATGAGATTTGGTGATAAATTAGAAAAAACTCGTGAATTGTTTGATGAATTGTAGCTTTTCATTTTATAGGAATCTAATAATTTAATAGGTGGACGTAAAAATATTTCAAGGAGAAACATATGTAGATTATTGAATACATCCAGTTGAATCCTTTTTGAAATAAACAAGTATATTTTATATATATATTCGATTAACGATGTACTCAATAGGAAGCATCATGAATAACAGTGCAAAAGATAAAGCCCCATCACCTTTAATGTCACAATAATTTCTACGATAATTCTATTACAGGTAGCCTTCCATCCATTATAGCTCAGTATAAGCATTCATGTTTTCAACCACAGTTCCCAGGCCCCTTTTTCTCTCCAGGTAATTTAATACATTGAACCATTGAACTAAAAAGATGGAAGATTACGTCAATCGATATTTTGATGCCAGTAGTGCTGAAGTCGGCAGTATTGTTCCCAGTCTTTCAAAGCATGTGATAAACAAATTCAAAACAAACTAATTTTTTAAGGAACTGTGAAAAAGGGGAAAATCGCAAAATAAGTTTCAAAATGAGGTAAATTTGTGCAACTGATTTATAGCAATATTTTTTGGTTAATTCATCATTATGGCAACTATTTCTGTGAAAAAAACGAACTTCACAAATACGGACATGTCGACATTTTGCAAAGCTGAATTGTTATGTTGACATTTCAAAAAAAATATGTTTGAACACTAATGAGACTGACGTAAAAACATAATCGGAGAGCACCTGAACGTAAAAAAATCTATGTTTTAAAGAGTTATTTACGAATAACATCGTCGTTTCTTCTCATTCGGACCAGAACGAGTCCAAGTACAAACCTTTGCCATTTGTAAGTTTCCTGTGTAAAAAGTAATTGTTCGGTAAGAAACTTAAATTTCCTGTATTAATAACATAAGAAAAGGCCATGAAATCGAAAAAATCAGATAATTTTCCTCTTTGTAGCTTTGCCAATTCCCGTTATAAACATGTTGTTTATTATTAACTTGCTCATTTTTTACAATCACCCATCGCAAGGCTGAGCTTGAGTGATTTAAATTCCAAACACACGTATCTGGAAGTCAGATTACGCAAAACTTTGGCTTCGATTCGTGTGTTAGGATACCTCAAAGTTAGTCTTCCAGTTATATTTAGTTCAATGATTTAAAATAATTCAATAGGCTAGATGCTCTAAATCTGTGTGTTTGAGCATGCGCAAATCGTTAGCCAATTACATTAAAAAATTTTTTCTATAAAATATATTGTAAGGTCGGGCTGAATTTTGAAAGCCGATTAAGTTGCGAAAAGCATGGAACCGGCAAAGTCGATCTCTATTTGATTGCAATTTAGAAGTCGGTCGAACAGTGCTGAGTAGTGAATATATCACCGTCCAATCCAATTTTCGCGCTTTAGCTTTGCCTTGATTAGAATTTGATTTTGATCACTGGTGAAGCAAACTTTTCTTTCAAAATCATATCGTCTTCAACACATATGCGAACAGTTATTTTACTTATTTATCGTGAAAAATTTTGCGTTAATGGTGGACAAATTTCTCCGGGAAACGCAAATGTTTTCACGCCATAGCGAAAAACCTGTCCCATACAATGAACTCTAATACAACTGTTCTGTGAGTCTTGTTTCGATTTTCTTGATACATAGGACAAACATCAAAGAAAATCAAAAAAAAGACTCACAGAACACAAAAACGCCACAAAACGACGAGATCCAAACTCACTACCGGCAGAACATACCCACTGAAACAACCACACATTAGACTGGACAGAAACTAAAATACTCAGACGCGCACAGGCTAAACACGCACGCGAGTTTAAAGAAGCTTGGTACAGTAAAGACAACGACATAATAAACAGACATATCGACATACCCATCATACACTCACAACTAAAGATAAAGGACAAAAAAGTACAAACAACAACAGAGCTACAACATTACACTCTAATAATATCAACACCGATCATATTAACAATACACCAAAACCTATGGCAACGCATTCCACCCCATCCAGTCACATTAATCCATCCGCGAATCCAACTAGACGCCCAAGCGTCTACAATAGTGTTGCCACGCCTTGGGATTTCTCCCAAAATCTTGGATTTTCGAATGAAGCTTGGGATCTTGGAAGTTTTTGTCGAAATATTGTAAACTCTTCGGATATTTTGTTTATATATTTTATACGTAATATTGTCTCTCTTATTATGCGTAAAATTGTAAGCCAACATTCCATCATAAATAACAGTCGAAAAGCAAAACGGTATTGGGTAATCAAGCTACTGGAAAACCTGAAATACTAAATGGTAATAGCTATAAAATCTGTTATACCCACAAGTTTTACATTTTCTTATGCAGTGAAAACGGAGTTAACAGTTAAATTTGAAATATGTGACTTCCGGTGGAACAAAAACACATTTTCGAAGCAAATGTATGATGACGAAGAAAGTGAATCAAGTGATCAGAATGATCATCCTCCATCAAGACAAAAGCAAAACAAGGAAATAGAAAATGGTACAAGCAATCGTTTAACGATGCATGGTTAAAAGATCCAGAATTACAAGACTGGATTTCTAAAGACCCCAGAAAGAAATTCACAGAAAGATGCAAAGTTTGTGAACATACATTCAACGGTCCCAACTAGTCTGCTTTGATGAAGCATAAAGCCACAAAAAAGCATAATGATGCATTTAAAGCCAAGCAAAACACTTTGCAAGTAAGCAAATTTTCAAGAAGCAAACAGGGCCAGATGTTGACGAAATGACAGCAAAGCCAAAGTTTTGTTGTCTGGTTTTTAGCTTACCACCGAACGCTTTTCATTCTGGCCGATCATCTCAGTGAGTTAATGAAAAAATGTTTCAGACAGCAAAATTGCGCAAAAATGCAGTTGAAAAAAACAAAGGCATCATATGTTATTTAAGAAGGAATTGCGCGAGAGGAAGTGGGGTCGCTATCAGCAATCTGTCAAAAAATCAAATTTTCTCGGATCGTAGACGAATCGACAGATGTTTCGGTTTCCCAAATTCTTGCTGTTGTTGTCAGATTTTACCATGAAAGGAAAGTGACTGATGCTTTATTGACTGCCCTTAAAGTAGAAAATGCCTCTGCTAATGGATTGTATGCGGCTGTTAAAAACTTTTTTTAAGAACGAGCAATACCACTAAGTAGTGTTGTTCGTTTTGCTAGCGACAATTGTTCGACAATGATGGATGGAAGAGGAGGTTTCCTACTTCTAAAAAAGATGTACTTGGTGTATTTGTCTTTGGTTGTATTTGTCACTCTTTGCTATCTGGGCGCACCATGCAAGTAGTCGCCTACCTTCTTGGTTGGAAGGATTTGTGAAAGACGCCTGCTGTTATTTTTACCGTAGCAGTAAGCGACAACACCAGTTCCGTCTCATACAAGATATTATGAAAGCACTTCGTCATAAAATTCTCAAACTTTACAGACAAGGTGGCTTTCCGAGGCCAGTTTTGCAAGAATTTTATAGCAATGGGGTGCATTAAAACTTTATTTTCAATCTCAGTCTCAATGTGATCGTGTAGACGGGGCTATCAAGATCTATGAAACCATGACGACAAAAGGAACCAAACATACTAGGCATTCCTAAATTACATATTGTAAAAAGTTGATTGTTTAAATGTTGAATTTCAGGCTCAAGATTTCAAGCTGCACACTCTGTGCAGTTCTATATCAGATGAGTATAGAAGCATTTTAGCCCTGTTCATCAAAGACAAAGTAGTACGAGAAACACCGTTGGACGAGATTAATCCAAACGACGTAAAGATATACAAGCTTCTCAATGATATTCATCTCGGAGGAAGATGTGTAAGCCTGTGCACTCACCTGTCTTTGGGTAACCCAGAACAACGTTTCAGAAGCGATTGTCGTAACTTCTCCTTAAGTTATGTAATCAAAATAAAAAAGAGGTTTTCTTTCAAAAGTGATGTAGTTCTAGCTTTGCTATCAGCTGCCAACCCTTCAAAGGCTTTGTCCACCAGGCGATCATTAAACTCGATGGCGGTATATTAGCACACCATTTTCCATCTTTAGTGTCTGAAGATCAGTTGGATGAAGTTGATGATCAGTGGAGGCAATTGTTATACACCACAGACTTTCATAAAGGTATGGCTGACTCCCCAACTCAGATTTGAAATGAGATCAGAGTTATTAAAGATAGTAACGGAAATAAAAAGTTTGAACTTTTGGGAAATTTAATGTGCAACCATCTTGTTTTACCTCATTCATCAGAATTTTTTCCCAAGTTAGCATGATAAAGATTCCTCAAACCAAACCCCTGTATTGCTCAACTTTGAGAAACAGACTAATTGCAAAACAAGCTATTTCTCGACAAGTTATTACATGTTTAAATGTAGATCGTCGAGGTTGGTATAGGTTGAAAAGGACTGTTTTTGTTGTTGTTGACTGACGTTTCGACAACCTTAGCGGTAGTCATCTTCAGAGTCAAATGAAGCGGTAGTTAACTTCAGAGTCTTCATTTGACTCTGAATATGACTACCGCTAAGATTGTCGAAACGTCAGTCAACAACAACAAAAACAGTCCTTCTCAGGACTGTACCAACCTGGACGATCTACATTTACAAACATGTACCGATACTCCCGGGTTCAAACCATTTACTTTAAGTTACACATTGCTACACATGGGAGCCGTCAACTAAACTTGTAAAAGACGTACAATTTGACCATTGTAGGAGAGAATATTTTAATAAACATGGTCAACGTCAGGAACAGGAAGAAAATGCAACTGATGTTTATGACATCATAAGAGAAGAGATTGTTGAAATAGGGTCTGGTTAGCATGTTTGATAATTTTATGTACTGTTATGTTTCACGAACTTTTCCTGATCATGTAAAAAATTGTATTTACTATTGTTTTTTATACAATTTTTGATTTAAAGTGTCAAAACAAAAATGATGCGTTAATGGCGTACCCAAGACAAAGGAGCTCCTGAAACAACTGTTTTGCTGTACCTGGAGGATTTTGGGATATTTTTAAAGGATCTTGGGATATTTTAAAGGATCTTGGGACTATTATCCACAAAATCTTGTGCATTTCTAAAATAGTCAGTGGCAACACTGGTCTACAAGCTAAAAGTACGTGTAGTAATTTCCTCATTCTGATGAAGGCTCGAAGCAACGAGTCGAAAGCTCAATTTAAGCATTGTGTGTCTCACCACTGTGTGACTTCATATCTACATTTAATTTCAAACACCCCACTGCAAAAACATTCTTTCGTATGACATTCCTTTCACGAGAAAACATGAGCCAACAAAATTGACCTGCCCACCACTGTGCGGACTTCATAGCTCAGTTGGTCAGAGCACTGCACCGGCACCGCAGAGGTCATGGGTTCGAATCCTGTTGAGTCACCTGAATTTTTCAGGTTCATGAGACAATTGCTTAAATTGTCCAACAAAGTGTGAAGATCATATCTACATTTAATAAGAAATCAAACGCTTACAGAAAAAGAAACAGAAATACACAAAATTGTTGTATAAAATAAAAGATCCTTCGGATTGTATAAAATGATTTTTATTGAGCTTTCGACTCGTTGCTTCGAGCCTTCATCAGAATGAGGAAATTACTATTTACACGTGCTTTTAGCTTTTAGACCAGTGTTGACACTGACTATTTTAGAAATTCCCAAGATTTTGTGGATAAAAGATCATATCTACATTTAATTTCAAACACCGCACTGCATAAAACATTCTTTCGTTTGACTTCTATCACAGAACAAGGAATAAATGGTAGTGCCACTACAATGAAGCCTTTGTTGCTTTTTGATATTCAGGAATTAATTGTTTGGTTTTTCCTGTGTTCCCATGGGTGGTTTGTGATCCGATTTGAGAAAGATGTGTTGCGCATGTCATTGTGGCGTTCTGTACTATATGCCATGCATTGAACAGACGTTTTCTTTAAGTCATTGTTTGTGGTCCTCGATGAATGTTTTACTTATATTGCTTTAATATCACTATGTTTTAAATGCTTATGTTTTCGGGTTAGTTGTGCACAAACACAGATGAGGTATTTTGAAGAGCTGTTTTTTCTAAACATTTTGAGATAAAATATTTTAGAGATGCTCAAGTTCAAGTGTTTTTAGGTTTTGTTCCAGTGGCTATGTCTATGCGGTTAAGAAGAGTTCAGATTTCACACTTAAGCAAGTGGAATACTCTCTATATTTTATTCATTTACATGTATGATTTCAGATCGCTCTTGTATACAAATCGTTTCTGTTAATTTATTTCTATTCAACACAGTCCTTGCACGCTCTTCTATAAAATAAAAATGATTATTACAATATTATGATACAAAATCAGTCGTCGTGCAAATATAAACGTCCTTGTCTAGTCTTCTCTTACATATATGCTCATTATGACAATTATTCTGAAAATTATATAAGAAATTATCATGGACGGATTTTCATATCTTTACAGGGGTAGTGCTAATAATTTTAGAAGGGTGAGCTGGTAAGAAATTGATGCAAGACAAAGTTAGGATCTAGATTTTAGTGGCAATCTGGAAGTATGGACACCAAAGGTAGTGTACATAGCTGAAACATTGCCCAGAGAATCTCAGTAAAAATGAACTACTGTTTATGTTGCTGAAAATAGAAGGCGTCAAAATGTTTTAGAGAGACGTGAACAATTTATTTAGGAGGGATGAAATCTGATGTTTTAAGGGTATAGCACCCTCTGCAACCTCCTGAAAATCCGTCCATGGAAATTATACGATTGTTGTATAACATTGAAAAATAGCTCAAATAAGTTACAATAATAGCTTAAAACCTTTTTCTTGTGATAACATAGAAATTCTCCGACCATTTACAATTCCCAAATGTGGTCCATCTTCTGCAGGTCTTTCCGCTCCTTCAGGAAGCTCAAACTTGAGCTGTTGCAATAATGCTGCAGTAAACGTAAATAACATGATCTTTGCAAACGATATTCCGGCGCATTCTCTTCGACCTAAACCAAACGGCATAAATGCAGGATACTTTGTCCATCCAACAAATTTCCCATTTTCGTCTAAGAAACGCTCTGGCTTGAATTTATGTGGTTCCGCCATTCTCGCTCATCCAAGTGAACCTCTGGTATATTGACCATGAGAGTAGTTCCTTTGGAATATAATATCCTGCAAGTGTTACATCGTTTATTGTCACTGTAATTGCCCTTGACACTGGAGAGGTCTTGCGTAATACTTCACAAATGGTGGCTTGAAGATAAGGCATGTTGTCGGCGTCATCCATTCTCGGCAATTTGTCTTCCCTAGTGCATGACAATTTCTTCATGAATTTTTGTGAAGTTTCAGGGTATAAAGTCATGTACAATATGAGCCATGATAGTGAGGAAGAGGTTGTGTCCGAACCGGCAAAAGCGACGTCTATCATCAAAGCTTTGATATCTTCAATGGATCCAATATCTTTTTGTTTCTTTGGCCGCCTTTTGTATGCTTCAATAAAACTATCAGCCATATCGCGGATAGTACCAGGTGTGTAAGTTTCTAAATGGGATTTCAAAACTGGTGAAAGTATCGAGAATTTTATATTTTGACCTCGTTTAACAAATTTGGAACGCTTTGTTGGCAGATAGGAGTGAAACGGTATCATGCAGTAAGTTAAATAAATTGACGGAATCTTTCTTGCAACGAGATCACTAAACTCGAGGAGATTCATTATTACTGGATCATCCAAAGAAACTTTCTCGGCAGTGAGCCATTGCCTCAATTGAACCATTATAGCTGATCCAATAATTTCTTGGGAGAGAATGGTTGATCTTTCAATGTGTTTTATTTGCTCCAAAGTACATGTTACTGCATGAAGTCCTCTTGTGCTGCCTTGATACCTGCTCCAAACACGTGCATTGCTGAATTAAATACTCTTTTTCTGAACATGAATGCTGTTCCATATTCAGCAAAGACAACATCATTTGGTCCCAGTACTTACATAAAGGAATATCTTGTTCTCTGCTTACAACATCGTTATTATACTCAATCTTTGCCTTTCTGGCAAGTGATGCAGTGTTCACAAATACACACTTTGTGTGTAATTGTAATGTCATTATATCACCGTACGTCTTAGAAAGTTTATGAAATGGTTTTCCTGACTTGACATCCTGTTGTAACATATTACCAATGACTGGCAATGGAAACGGCCCAGGTGGCATTAATCTTCTTTCCAAGTATGTCGTTATTAAATACCAAGTTATCCAAAACTAACAAGAACGTTGTTGTCAACTCCAGAATCATGATTTGAAATTCTGGGTAATCTATCATAAAATGTTTTGATGAGAGAAAAACACGGCACGTAACTTTAAATCTGATATTTTGTATAAACACAAACACATTGATAAAATTTTATGCTGCATTTAGCACCCTATAGTGTGGCGTAATATTTAATCCACCTATTGTTGGTTCTCATAGTGGATGCCCTCTCTTTGTTGGCTATTCCCTTGAGACACACATGAAAACCAAGAATTATTGGAAAACAATTATTTATTTTATTTTGATTCTCGTTTTGATTTTGATTTGATTATTATGAAAAATTGCATGATTTGTGTAGCTAGTAAAGCATTTGCCCTACATTAAGAGAAAATAACTATTTAATAAGACGTGTTGTATATTCAATAGTGCGTTTCCACTTTTAATATAGCAACAATCGACTGCGAAATGACCAAAAAGGATGTTCAAAAAAATAGCGATCTAATTCATGCCGTTTATTCATTTTGAAATGAGCGATAAAAACAACAATTGCACATAGTGAACAATCATTAGCGCGATGAATTTAACTGAAGGTTCGTTTTCTGCATTTAGCGTCTAGTTTTCGTGTGGTTGAACGCAACGTCTGTTTAGTCTGGCCCATATAAACAGACCATTATTCACCCTGGAAGATTTCTGTGGACAGACATCGTGGTAGACACGACTGCTTAACAACACAATTCGATACGCTCCGAGAAACGCTCTCTGATGTGTCAATCGAAACCATCTTAACCCGCTTGAGTTTTGTACCCAAAAGAATTTAGGTATATTCAAGCAACGTGCGAATCATACTAAAGGCTTGCCCTTACTCAATACGCTCCAATTTTGAATTTCATCAACTAATGCTAATTCTTAATATAAATATCAAAGCCCAGCAGTGCTTTTAAAAAGATTTAATGCATAAAGAAATATTTAATTAGAATCGTAACGTTTCGTCTTGACTCTCAAGACATCATCCGACAGTATTAAAATACGTATCGAGGGATATATATATAATAGCTATTTACATAATATTAAATTAAATCAACAAAATGAAACCATCTCTAACGCCCAAGGAAACTCCACTGTCCTTCAGTTGCTTTAATATAATTTCGTCCGTCCTCATGTCTGTAACTTTATGATTGTTTGTGTTTTTTTTTTGTTTCTTTCGTGTTTCTACTTATCCCACGTCATACCATCTTATCCCATATTTACTGTCACATTTTCATCCCACCATGTAATTTAATATTATGTAAATAGCTATAAATATATATCCCTCTATACTTGTAATTCAATATTGGTCTGATGATGTCTTAAGAGTCGAGAGCGTTACGCTTCTAAATAAATATTTCTTTTTATGCATTAACTGGCTCTTTTAATTATAAAAGCACTTTGCTGGGCTTTGATAGTTATGAAAGAATGTTTTTAATTTAAATGAAGATAAGATCTTCGCACTTTGCTGGACAATTTAAGCAATCGTCTCAGGAACGTGAAAAAATCAGGTGACTCAACGGGATTCGAACACATGACCTCAGCGGTGCCGGTGCAGTGCTCTGACCAACTGAGCTATGAAGTCACACACACAGTGGTGAGCAGGTCAATATTGTTGGGCTCATGTTTCTCGTGAAAGGAATGTCGTATGAATGTTTTATGCAGTGCGGTGTTTGAAATTAAATGAAGATATGATCTCCGCACTTTGCTGGATAATTTAAGCAATCGTCTCAGAACCTGAAAAAATCAGGTGACTCAATGGATTCGAACATGACCTCTGCGGTACCGGTGCAGTGCTCTGAGCATGACCTCTGAGCATGCACTCTGAGCCATGCGTTCTGAGCACAGTGCTCTGAGCATGACCTAAAGTGCCGGTGCAGTGCTCTGATCTGATAATAGACTGGATATTTATAGGTAGCAAAGCAAGCCTAATTATAAATGCTCACTGGTACAAAAAGAAATACAAATTACTATAGAAATGTATGGCGGATAACGTTTGTTATTACAAAGGATTTCGAATATTTAAGGCATTTCTGTGACATTTTACTGGTCTCAAACATCTGTAATGGATAAAACAAGTTATGTTAATCAATTTAATATCAAAATGATACCAATATCTGCAAATATCGGCGTTCGTGTTAATTGAAAATTGCGCGTGTAAAGAATCGACTTCATTCACGCCAAAGGCAAGATAATTCACAGCTCATTTTCCAAGTTTCAGAGGTTAAAGTTAGACCTAGAATGAGTTTCTATGCTTAAAAATTCGTTTCTATACCTTTTATCATTCTTTATTATCTAGACATTGTTTTATGCGTTTCATTAGCTGGGTACTTCCACAAAGACATTAAGTTTCTTTCCTTTCTATTCTTATTTTCATTTCTGCTTTTATTTTACAGATATAATTTAATCACCACGCTTGCTAATACATTTGGACATGGCCTTCATGAATGGCGAGTATAGTTTTTATTGACATAACATGTGCATCAATTGCATTGTATACAAAGATTCAGCAACAGAAATTGTATTTCCATGTAATAAACTACCATCAGAAGCTGAAACACCATCCTGCCTTGTTTCATGTTGATATAACAATAGCTGTTGGTTTGAAACAAATAACTTCTGTTTGTAGACAAAATATATACTGTAATGATTAGCAAGATTATAGTAGTGCATACAGCTTTTCCATTGTTTCTGAATTTAAAGTGATTGCAATTAATACATGGCTAATTTTATAGGCAGATGCTGCCAAAGAAAACTACCTGCCCTACTTGTTATGCTGTTGGTTGAAAAATTTAAAGTGAATCTGCTTTTTCTGCCTTTAAAAGACATGAGTACTTGATTCAAACCAACAGCTATTGTTATTCAAGTATGCAATAAAACAGAAAGGTGCTTTTAACTCAGATGGCAGTTTACCACATGGGAATACAATTCCTGATGCTACGGTATAGACTGCAATTGATAAAAATGTTGGATACTTTTGTCAATAACAACCATACTTACTCATGGCTATATACAAATGCTACAGCAAGTGTGGTGATTTGTATTATTTTTATAAAATAAAACAGAAATGAAAATAAGAATAAAGAGAGGAAGAAAGCTATAAATTTGTCTTGTTCCTACAACAACAGTACCCAGCTAATGAAGCACGGCAAAAGTTACGTAAAACAATGTCTAGATAATAAAGAATGATAAAAAGAGGTACTAAACGAATTTTAAACATCGAAACTCATTCTAGATCATAAATGCATCTGAATCTGGTGTGAGCTGTGAATTATCTTGCCTTTGCAACGATGGGCCACCTGGATTCTTGCACGCGCAATTTTCAATTGAACACGAGCGCCGATATTTTGCAGATATTGGTATCATTTTGATGTCAAATTGATTAACATAACTTGTTTTATTCATGACAGATGTTTGAGATTAGTAAAATGTCACGGAAATGCCTTAAATATTCGAAAATCCTTGTATGTAAACGTTATCCGCCATACATTTCTATAGTAATTTGTATTTTGTGGTACCGGAAGTGTATTTTGCATATATAATTAGGCTTCACTTTGCTACCCATAGAAGCTATATCCAGTCTATTATCAGATCAGTGGTGCAGTGCTCTGACCTGCAAACGCGTTTGATATTTGACTCATCTGCCACGAATAACAAATGTTGTTCTAAACTTCCGCGCACACTAGGAACTTTTGTCGATCACACTTGTCACGAATAACAAGTACGCGCGGCAAGTTCACCAGTGTGCGGCGGGCTTAATGCTAAATTAAATATATGTTATCTATATGGCATTTGTATTTTTCTTATTGACCTTCGTATCGCGTTACTTGCTATTTTTGTTTGTATCGCTCATTTGAAAATAAAAAACACAGTATGAATTACGTGTCATGTGCATGAATTACGAACAATGGCTGTTTTATTCAACTTATCTTTTGCTCAATTGGCATTTGATTGTTGTTAATGAAATTAGAAACGCTTTATTAAATATAGAACTCGCCTGTTTCCTTTCACTTTTAATGAACGGCAAATGCTGTAAAGTCTAGTTTACATTAGACATATGACTCATGAAAACTGCTACAGTTAAACTGCTCATTCTGGCAAAAGTTGCATCAAGAATATCAAGATAATTTAATATTAATGAACCAAAATTTTTACCTGAATAGATTCACTCACCGTTTTATGTTGTTAATGCACCAAAGTCTTAGACAATATAGCTTTAGCAATTACGCAAAGGAAATAAAATTACAATCTCTACGACTCTGCCACGTCAAGGCCCACTCTGCCAAAATTATGGCGTATTTTCCCCACTGCGCGCGTGACCAGTGCTGTCACTGTGTGTATGCACATTTCACCTACCAAACTTTATTTTCCCCCTACCTCCCGCTACCATGATTTTCTTTGTTTCCCCCTACTTTTCCCTTACACAACAACATATCCCTCTAAAGTAAATGGTTTGAACCCGGGAGTATCGTTATATGTTTGTAAATGATGATCGTCCAGGTTAATAAA